ACATCTGTGTACCACAACGACCCCTGCACTAGCAGTCCAGGGGTGTGCATTGGGGCTTCGGAGTCCGTTTGGAAGGTTTCCTGAGGAATGATGATGGAGACAACTAAGCTAAGCTACACGAGGATCGCCATTCGCCTGGACTCGTGACAACGCAGGCATGCAAAAAGCCGTCACAACTGACAATCGCCAAGCCGAACTCCAGTTGCACGCCATCTGGCACCGCCTTCACCGATAAGCCAAGTAGTCTCCACGGGTCTTATCACTGGGGTTGTCATGTTTATCAGGTCTTTCGTTTATCACTTCCTCGCCCAAAGAAACATGGTACAAAAATGATAACAAACACAAAGCAGAGGGAAACCCAAGAAATCCGACGCAGTCGGCTTCGTGGAACGATCAGCCGCGGGAAGACAAACGTATCGAGTCTAAATCCTTATACTCCCCCACGGTCTCAACTCTATGCCGAAGAACCTACCCTATGCGAGTATGGAGCTCAAGAAAACATAGCCAGACATTCGCGGGAGTCAGAGACTGAAGCGACCCCTGAGGTGAACCCTGAATAGCGGAATCCTTATGACAAACTCTATCTGAAACAGCCGGAAAAAAGGAACTCGTTAGCCTCCCGCCCGAGGCCTCTGAGTCAGATGCCGGCGAGGAGCTCCGCCGCTTCCGTCTCCCGGCCAAGCTCCTCTTCTGAGGCGTCCCGGGCTTCAGACGCAGCCAAAAGCCAACGTGAATATGCAAAACATGCTCCATCTCTCCGAAGCCATGCTTGTCATAATGTCGGCCCGCGCCACTGCTCAGGGGGCCTTTGCCAAGACTCTGGACCGGAACCCGACATTTTCTCGAGAACTGCTAACGGAAGCCACCAGCAGCAGATAGGCAGGCAGCTAGCCCGACTGAAGTGTTGTTGGACTATTCTGCTAGGCCCAAGCTCGATCAATTCGGAAACAGATTGGCGTGGACCTAAGAGCCTGTTGACACTGGGGGCCGAATGGCGACTTCCATGACTCGTATCCAGTACCCGTTTTCGAAAGTATTGAGCTTGTGAGATGTGATATATACGAGCCTGGCATTGAAAGCCCGATCGTGCTAGCTGGGCACATCTCAATGTACGCACGGGCGCATTTACAATGTACGGCTCATCTTTAATGCTTGGCAGAGTTAAAGTTCACCGCTGCGACCGGTGTCCGAGGCTGAATGGCTACAAGAGCTTCCGGAACCGCGGTCCGATTCCAAGGCCTAGGATCAACTGCTGAAGACTACAGAACCTCACGGCAGAAGACTGTAGCCGAAGACAAGCCTGGAGCATCGAAAGCTTACTTTTCAACTCCACCATTACTTCACGGATACATATTGGATCTGTAGGGATGCTCTGTAGAGAGGATGCAGTGGCCTGAACCTGCCTTCAGCCCGACTCGAGAATCGAGGACGGGTCCTCCAGGAACTCGGCCAAGTTCCGGATGGAGTTAATAGTGTCCTCGTGTTGGGCGCCGTGCACAGACCGACCTGAAAAGTGCTGCTGCAAAGGGTGAAAAATAGCAGGTAAGAGCGAGAACAACGGAACGTCGCGACTTGTCACTCGACTCCCACAAACGGAGCTAAACTCCGACATGACTTCGTCGAAGCAGCGCGACCCTCAGTGCCCAGTGAAGGCCGAGCCGCACGTCTCGAGATCTTCGCGGAAGAGCTGCTCTGCCTCCTCCAATTGGCCCATAAGCCTCAACAAGCTGGCCAAGCTGTACATGCTGCTCATCGTGTCCGGGTGGGAGTCGCCAAGCTTCGCCCGGCCTCGGCCCCCGCCGTCAGAGGGATTGAACGGGGCATGTGTGTACTTCCTACCCACAGGTCTCCACGAAGTCCTGGTCTAATGCTTCAATACATTAACCATTTTCCGAGTTGCATCTGGAGACAGAATAGTTTACAGCCTGGTGGGGCGGGCGGGGCAATCAAATCATTGCGTCAGTCCCCACAGCTGCCAAAACTGAAAGGAATGGCATGCTTCGACACAACGACCCAATTACCAGAACCAACCCTCCTGGTTTTGGTGCAAGGTCGCATCATGCTGCTTGCATGACCGGCTGGACAAGGCGCAACAACGCACCCCTTTACCGTGCTAAGTGCTTCTCAAACAAACTAACCGGCATGGCGTGCCCTATCAAGGAAGCCTCTTTAAAAATGTCAGAACCTCCTGCGCTGGCAGCGCAGCATGGCCCACAAGAAACCAAGTTCTCGTACCACAACTCCTGCAAGACCCCCATCGAACTCAGCGTTTGGGGATGCTCGTCACCAAGTTTGGCCCTGCCTCGAGGTCTCATCTCGTGTGATGCGTACTG